CAAACTTGGGGGGAAGGGGGACTGCAAGGCCAGGCCCGGGGGCTCCAAGTAGGCCTGTATCCCAGCCTCGAGGGCAGCACGCCTGGGGGCCCTGAGCCCTGCCTGCTGCCCAGTCAGCTGGCCCTGGGCCTGGTGACGTACTCGTTCTGATGTCTCCATCTCTTCTGTGTGTGTACGTGTGTGTCCTGGCTGCCTTGCCTTTAGCATTTCATTCGGAAGTGACACTAGGTACAGCTCCCTTTTCTCCCCCGTACCCGCTTGGTCTGTCTTCTTCTGCTTTCTTGATCGAGTTCCTTCTTCCTTGACGTCTGCCTGCTCTCTGCCCCGTTCTCTGACAGCCCTCTGTTCCTACCCTCCTCTGGGTCTCTCCTTGGGGACATGTGTCTGACAGTGGCCCTGCCCTGTTCCCCTGCTTCATTCCATGGCCCTGACTCATGAGACCTGTGCCCTGCACCCCCAGACTGCGCCGTGCAGTAGACAGGGCAGTGTGGGCCCCCACAGGGCCTTGGTGCCTTACTGGGCCTGGCCATGTTGGAGCCGGTGCTGCCATCCAGCTGTTCTGTGTCTCTGAGGTGTGTCTTTGTTAGGATGCTTGGATGGGAACCGGGCAGGGGGGTGGGGGCCCCACACTATGGATTGAGGCATATTCTCCACCTCAAATGTGACTAATTCCCCAAATGAGCACCCAGCTTGGGAGGAATGTTGAGGAATCTGCTGTTTGGAAGGCTGGAAGCAAGAGCCGTCACCTAACAGGACTCTGTTCTGATCCCAGGGGTGTCTGGAGGGCAGTGGGACCTCAGAATCTGGCCCCTGGGAAGGAGCTTGAGGGCCTCTGGCTCACACCCTGTTCACCTGGGCTCGAGGTCAGGCCAAAGAAGGCAGCCTATCTCCTGTGTGCCCGAAGGGGACCTCGCGGCAGCCCTGTTTCCACTCCAAGCATCCTCCCCAATGGGCCTTCCCCTGGCAGAGGGCGAGTCTGCTGATGGAGGCCTTGGGCTATGAGGGCTTCACAAACCCAGGCGAGGCCCCTTCAGGTCTAAGGAGAGACAGGTGCCTCCTTACTCAGACAGAGCTGGGGCCCCCTGCCAGGGCTCCACCCTCGTCTTCCCCATTCTGTCCTGTCCTCTCCTCCCTTCCTGCACCCTTTCCCTTCCTGACCTCTGATCCTCACTACCTTCCTTTCCTCTCAGCTTCAGTGGGGCTCTGTCTGCCCTGGAGCTCAGCCTGGTGGCAGCACTCTGGTGGCCCCTGCTCAACGTGGTCCCGAGTAAGGAGGAGCCTGTCCTTCCTGGTGCCACCAGCCGGGGTTCTGGCCTGTGGCTCCAGTGGCTCTCCCTGCAGGCTGTCCACGTCTGTCTGTCTGTCTGCATGTCCCTGTCTCCACTGAGAGAGTCCCCTTGCCATTTTCTTCTACCTTGGCTCTGCTTCCTTTTAGGACCTTTTACCAGTTCGAGGCTGCGTGGGACAGCTCCATGCACAACTCTCTCCTGCTGAACCGGGTCACCCCTTACCGAGAGAAAATCTACATGACCCTCTCTGCTTATATTGAGGCAAGATATCTATGCCCAGGGCACCCCACCCATACCAGCCTTCCTCCAAAGCTTGAGGTCCTTGTGAAGGGCAGTGAGGGCACTTGTGAGTCCTGGACAACCCCAGACAACTCCGGGTTCTTCTCCCAAGGACCTCTCTAGTCCTTGAGTTAAATACATTTGTTTTAGGGGCTGTGCTCACAATTAACCCAGTTGGTTCTATGCAGTTGTAGATTTTATCCTTGGGGTTAAAAGATGGCTGTAGCACCACCGTGTGTCAATGTTCAGAACCAAAATAGTGGCGTCCCACCACACTTCCCTTGTTCCCAGGGTCTGCAGGTCATGGTAGACATGCAGGAGGCGGCTGGGAGCATGGGTGCTTCTTGCTGGGCATGGTAGTGATGGAAAAGGTGGTTTGGGGGCTGTGGGGGTAGGATTACTGCCAGACACACCACCTCTCCTTAGAGCCTAATCATCTTGGCTGTGACATGGGGATGCTGTGACCATCTCATGGGGTAGTGGTGAGGTTGGGCTGCCAGCCAGACTCTGCCCAACACATGCCCAAGACACACCAGCCATGCAGGGCAGAGCGACCACAAGCTGCAGGAAGGCAGAGGAGTGAGCTGTTCAACAGTTGGCATGTTGTCTACCATGAACTCTCTGTGGCATATTAGAGTTAAAATGTGCATGCATGGACAAGGCCAGGCTCAAACTTCATGGGCATTAGGTGGGGGAAGATGTCGCCCCCAAGTGAGGTTGCCAAGGCCTGAGCAGGTGAAGCCCATGTCAGGCACCTGTCCCTTTGGTGGCCCAGGGAAGGCAGGGCTTTAGCTCTCTGTCTCCAGCAGGGTGTGGCTCAAGGCAAGAGCAGATGCTCTCCTGCCAGAGCCTGGGGCCTGACCTGGGGCCCTGGGGAGGCTGTGGCTTCCAGTCAGTGCTGGGCCTGGTGCCCCCAGGAGAATATTAGGGGGGGCCCAGGGCACTATAGGGTGTCCTTAGACTAAGTCCCTGGCCTGCCCATCATAGATGGAGAACTGCACCCAGCCGGCCGTCATCACCAAGGACTTCTGCATGGTCTTCTATTCCCGTGATGCCAAGCTGCCGGCCTCACGTTCCATCCGCAACCTGTTTGGCAGCGGGAGCCTGCGGGCCTCAGAGAGGTGAGCTCACCTTGGCTGGAGCTGCCTGGTCTTGCTGGGAATAGTAGTGACGGAAAAGGTGGCTTGGGGGGCAGCAGGGGCCATGAGCACCTGCAGAAGACATCATCACCATATTGGGGGCTGGAGGGAGTCTGGGCCAGCCTGCACAGGGAGTGGGCAGGTGGAGCAAGGCCCTAGATGCCCACCTTGTGGATGGTCTGGGGGTCACACCTCACCCCTCCTCATGACCTTGCTCTCCCAGGACCACAGGAATCTGTGACTGGGAGGAGGAAGGTGCTTGTGAGTTAGGACTCAGAATCCCAGAGGGCCCTTCACATCATTCAGAGGCCACCAGTGACTGTGTGACACTGCTGAGTGGCAGGCCTTGTCACCATAAGAGAGTTGCTGAGGGGGCCTTGGTGCCATCAGTACGATGGGAACAGGAGGGTTTGTCTGTGAGGCTTTTGGTGCCTTGAGGGGCTGGAGGTGCCAGATGCTGGGTTCTAGGGACACATGTGCTCATGCTGCCTGTATCACCCCCAGGCTGGGACTCAGCTGGGCCCCGTAGGGACCTCGGCTCAGACCATAGTCCCCTGGGCACCTGAATGAGGCTGCCCAACCTCCCTCTGCTGGGAGGCTGCAGAGCGTCTGGATGGGATTCTGAAGAGGGGCTGATGCCCCACACCCTGGGTTGGCCACCTAGCTCGGCATGGGGTGGGACATGGGCTTTGTGCAGATTGGATGGTGGCTTGAGGCAGTGCCCGAGGTACTCACGTGTCCCTATCGTGGTGCCTGGGGCTTACGTGTTCTCCCCCTGCTCCCCACAGCAACCGTGTGACAGGCGTGTATGAGCTCAGCTTGTGCCACGTGGCCGATGCAGGCAGCCCAGGTAGGTGGCACCTGTTCTTTTGTGGGGCAGGGGCAGGGTGACCGCAGCCAAGCAGCATTTGGGGGCTGCCTCATCTGCCAAACCAAGTGAGCATCTGAGATTTCTCAAGTAGCCCTCAAATGGAGGACAGAAGGTGAGAGTGCGTGTCCAGGCTGGGACACTGTGTGGGAGAGTCAGGCCTGCTGATCACTTGGCCACCTAGGTCACCAACTTCCCCTGGCCTAGGCTGGCATGGCTCTGCAGGCCCTGGGGACAGGGGAATCTGGTCTTTGCCCTGGAGGACAGGGAGCTTCTGGGCCTCTCTGTGAGTGGCACCACAACGATCAGAGGGTGGATAGGGATGGAGTGTCTGTACCTATCCAGGGATGCAGCGCCGGCGCCGGCGGGTGCTGGACACATCTGTGGCCTACGTCCGGGGTGAAGAGAACCTGGCAGGCTGGAGGCCCCGAAGCGACAGCCTCATTCTGGACCACCAGTGGGAACTGGAGAAGCTGAGCCTGCTGCAAGAGGTGAGGGGGCCCAGGCAAGGCCCACATGGCCGTAGTCACCACGGCATGAAAGCCACTGAGGGGCCACAGTCAGTGAGTCACAGGCCACCTGCAGGGCAGAGCATGTGACATTCACACTGCCCACGATGGGGCTTCACGCACATAACAAACACAAAGCCCCTGGCTCGGCTCCTGTAGCTCAGCAGTTAGAGCACTAGCCACATACACCCAGGCAGACGAGTTTGAACCCGGCCCGGGCCCTGCCAAACAACAACTCCAACAACAGCCGGGTGTTGTGGTGGGCACCTGTAGTCCCAGCTACTTGGGAGGCTGAGGCAAGAGAATTGCTTAAGCCCAAGAGTTTAAGGTTGGTATGAGCTGTGATACCATGACACTCTACCAAGGGCAACATATTGAGACTTTGTCTCAGAAAAAAAAAAAAAAAAGCCCCCTTAGAACAGAAGGTGTGTTCTGGGCTTCAGGAGGAGAGTATCAGGCCTGCAGATGAGGAGGGGCCCCCTGGGAAGGAAGTTGCTCTGATTAGGGTAGGCCAATGCTTGGCAGCTGGTGCTGACTGTTGAGCAGGGTGTGCATATTGGAAGTGGGAAGGCAGAGGCTGTGCCCACCCCTTGGCCTTTGCTAAGGCCACCAGCACTGCAGAGCATGTCCTGAATGTTCATGTCCATCTGCTCGCTCTGGGGCCTGCAGGCTGCAGCCACGAGGCTGTTGACAGAGGGAGGCAGCTTATTTGCTGTCTGCTAAGGCTGCAGGACTTGGGTGTGGGCTCTGAGTGCTGGGGTCTTGGGGTTTGTTCTCTCGTTTCATATACTGAGGCCATCAGCCCCAGCCCAGGGGAGGCATGGGTTCTCCTGCATCTGCCCAGAGGGTCCTGCTGCTCCATGGGACTGGCCCAGCCCTCTCAGGGTGTAGCAGATGGAACTCTGTGTTCCTCTGAAGGTGGAGAAGACCAGGCACTACCTACTCCTGCGGGAAAAACTGGAGACCACTCAACGGCCAGTGCCTGAAGCCCTGTCCCCGGCCTCTAGCGAGGACTCTGAATCCCATGGCTCATCCAGCGCCTCCTCCCCACTCTCAGCTGAGGGCCGGCCATCGCCCCTGGAGGCACCCAATGAGAGGCAGCGGGAGCTGGCTGTCAAGGCAGGTTGAGCTGGTGGGCGGCCCAGCTTGCCCCCAACCCCTCAAGAGTCTGCATCATTTCTGGACAGCGCCAGTGACCCGGCATTGCTGAGGTAGCTCCAGTTGGAGCTGCCAGGAGCTGGGAGCAGGAGGGTCCCACACCCCCTCCCACCTCACCCACACTGGAAGTTTGGTGCCTTTTCCAGCACCTACCTCCTCCAAGCACCTACCTATGCCCTCTCACATACCTGCCCCCGGGGCACTCACTACATCTGCCTGGGGGTGGTTTCTTGGCTGCACAGCTGTGGGCAGCACTGCCCCAAGGGCTCCCCAGCACATTACCTGGGTGGGTTTGGGTGCTACCTCCCTGACCAGTGGGCTTGGCCTTGACCTAGCGTGCCTGGGAGAGGGGCGGGCAGAGGAGCCTTGCTGTGCCAGGACAGGGAGGTGTCCCGGAGGCCTGGCTCCTGACCCCCATGTGTCTATCTACAGTGCCTGCGCCTCCTCACACACACGTTCAACAGAGAGTACACCCACAGTCACGTCTGTGTCAGCGCCAGCGAGAGCAAGGTGGGTGGGAGGCACTGTCCAGGCTGCCCTGTGGGGCTCAGCACCCAGGGGGAGTTACTCCCAGAGGGAAAGGCAATTTCACTAGGAACACATCTCTCTGTCCAGAGGAGACCACATAGCTAGTGACCAGCTGCTCTGGGGCTATGGTGGGTAGGGACATGGGTGGGAGGTCTGCCCAGGCCCTCATAGGCTCCCACTCTCTTCCTGCCTTACCCTGTCTGGCCGGCCCTCAGCCAGCTGCCTCTATCTAAGACTGGTCATGGCCTCCTCTGGCTTCTCTCAGCCCTGGCAATTGATCCCCATCCTGTAGCCCCCAGAAGCTGCTTCTGCATTGCATTGGGCCCAGAGGTCCTACTCTGGCCATGACCTTCCACTCCAGCCCCCATGGACATCCCTAGTGCTGGCCCCATAGGGCACTGCTGGCAGATGGAGCAGCTCTGGGCAGCTCAGAGCTCCAGCCCAGCCCCTGATGAAGCAGCAGGCCCACCTCCCCAGCCAGGGCAGAGCCTGAAGTCCTGGGAGAGGCCAGGTAGGGAAGTGTGGGCTGCAGTGGGCAGGAGGTCTTGAGGCAGCCTCTTAGCTGTGGCTGTGCAGATGGGGGGCAAGGGTGCCCCAAACAGAAGGCAGAGTATAAGCAAGGGTCCAGGACACAGCCATTGCAAAGGGGCCCCACCAGGGAAAGGAGAATATTTTCCTTCCCTGTGTCCCCCACAAAAGGCCTTCTCTCCTACACAGCTCTCTGAGATGTCTGTCACCCTGCTGCGGGACCCGTCTATGTCCCCTCTAGGGGCAGCTACGCTCACCCCCTCCTCCACCTGCCCCTCTCTGGTCGAAGGGCGGTATGGTGCTGTTGACCTGAGGTGAGTACTCTGGGATCCTGGAGAAAGTTCCAGCATGAACTGACTGTGACAATGGCTGTGACTTAGGGCACAGAGTAGAGAAAGCAGGTCACACACACATTTAGGGAAGAGCCTTCAGGGGAGGGTCTGGTGTCGCTCTCCACCCCCCTCCCAGCTCCACCCTCAGGAGGAAGAAGGCTTCCTACCCTCTGTCCCACAAGTCACAGGCGCCTGGTGGGTGCCCACAGGTCCGCATCTCCCTGTACACCAACAGTGCCTGTAGACACTGTGTTCTTCAGTTTAATTGTGAAGACAGTGCTGCATCTGCTTTGGGGTGGGGGTGGGGGGCAGAAGAGCCCCTGGGAGGAGCATGTGGACCCAGTACAGCTGGACACACCCCTTCCATGGGCCCCAGGTCACACCCCTTCCATGGGCCCCTCCCTCCCATGCCCAACTTGTCCTAGAATCGGGCAGATGCTTGGCTTTCGTGGTGGGTGGACACTGGACCTGCAGCTGTGGGCACAGGTGGGCAGACTCCAAAAGGCTGCCCCATAGAGTGGCTGTGGGGCATGAAGCCCAGCTGGGGCCTCCTGCAAAGATGCAGCAGCTTCTCGCTGCTTCCCAGAAACCCACAGCCCTGCTCCCGACCGGCCAGCCCGGAGCCTGAGCCACTGCCAGAGGCCGACTCCAAGAAGACTCCCTCCCCAGTCCGGTTGACAGAGGTTGACAAGGAGCCGCAGCGCCTGCTGGTCCCTGACATCCAGGAGATCCGGGTCAGGTATGTGGGGCCCTGCCCTGCACAGGAGCACTGCTAAAGCACCACCAGGCCAGCTCTGTGCCAGTGAGGAATGGGCAGGCCCTCTCTGACTTCCCCGGGATGGGGGATGATTGGCAGGCTGCCCCTGACCTATGTACAGGAGGTGGCTCTGTGCTGGGGTCAAGTAGCCCCCATGACTCACCTGCAGGGGACAGCCATGTACTAGGGTCAGGCAGGCCTTATGGCCCCTGAGTCAGGGCTGACAATGAACACAGGGAAAGGGCAGTTGAGTGGGTCCGAGCCAGGTTCATGCAGGGACCTAGTGGTCATGGGACTTGGTGGGACAGCTCTAGGGCAACTTCATCTTTTTCATAGGTTTCCATGTTACTCCTGGGGAAACTGAGGCCCAGAGATGGGCTGCTGGGTTGGTGGCACTGGTCTCAGGCCTCCCAGGTTGGGGCTTTGCCAGCTGCCCTTTCTG